AATGGTTATTTTGCAGCAAGTTGAACGCATGATTTGGGAATTTTGGTGTGTTAATCGTTTCGATCCACTGAGCCATGATGTCGGTCCACAACTTCTACCTCATCCATGATTTGACCTTTGACATGAGTTCATATTAAAGTACGTAAGACCGTAAACATAGGAACATTTTTCCCGATCAAACTATCACGATAAATTGATTGGAGAAATTGAAATTGTTCAGTTATAGTATAAATTGTTAAGTATATTTTTTAGTTCGATCATCAACTTTCTCTTTTTTCCTTTTTCTTTGCATTAAAAATGCAATAATAATAATAATAAAGATAAATGAAAAAAATTAGGTTACAGTAGTATTAAAAATATTAAAAAATTTAATTATAATTATATATTTTAATATTTTTAATATTAAAATTAATTTTTATTTTTTATAATAATAATAATAATAAAATATTGTGTAATTTAAATTTTTTTAAATTATACAATTTTAATTATTTAATGAAGTGAACACTTAATATTTGTAACTTTTACCTTTATACTGTAAACAATCCGGACGATAAAGAAAACAGAAACTTTAACAATAATGAACTTCTCTTTTTTCCCGTTGTTTTTTTCTTCCCCGCTTAGTACTAACATGTTCATTTTTCCTAATTAATCATCTTTCCAAGGTCTAGCAAGCCGAAACCTTTACCATTCTTCAATACTCTTTCTTTCTCATCACTGCTTTCTTTTACACCCTTCACCCTTTTGTCCACCTCCATTGTATCTTTCTTTGAGCTTTCTGTGTTTCTGGTGTTCCCACAGGTAAGCTCTTTTCAAACCCAGCTTTGCATTTTCTACAGTTATTTTGTTTTGCTGTGTGGAGATGCATGCTTTGTTCTTGTTGGTTCTTGTTATCTGCAATTTTTATGGTCCCGTGGACTGCTTGAATGGTGAAGGGTATGCACTGTTGTCATTTAAGGAGTCCATTCACCAGGACCCAGAAGGGTCTTTGAGTAACTGGAACTCCTCAGATGAGAACCCTTGTTCATGGAATGGGGTTACATGCAAGGAGCAAAGAGTTGTTTCAGTTAGCATTCCGAAGAAGAAACTTTATGGGTTTCTTCCTTCGGCTTTGGGTTCCCTTCCTGTTCTTCGCCATGTAAATTTGAGAAACAACCGGTTTTTTGGTAGCTTGCCTGTTGAACTCCTTAGCGCTCAGGGGTTACAAAGTTTGGTTCTTTATGGGAATTCCTTTTCTGGGTCCTTGCCAAAAGAGCTAGGGAATCTTAAATACCTTCAAACCTTAGATTTATCAGAGAATTTCTTCAATGGGTCACTACCCACATCAGTTGTTCAATGCAAGAGGCTTAGAACCCTTGATCTTAGTCGAAACAATTTCACTGGTCCTCTGCCAGATGGGTTTGGGAGTGGTTTGGTTTTTCTAGAAAAACTCGATCTTTCATTCAATTCTTTCAACGGTTCAATTCCTGGTGATATGGGAAATTTGTCTAATCTGCAAGGAACTGTGGATTTGTCTCATAATCTCTTCAGTGGTTCAATCCCACCTAGCTTGGGAAACCTTCCAGAAAAGGTTTATATCGATCTCACTTATAATAATTTGAGTGGATCAATACCTCAGAACGGTGCTCTGATGAACAGAGGACCAACTGCATTTTTAGGGAATCCTGGACTCTGTGGCCCCCCATTGAAGAACCCTTGTTCTTCAGATACTCCAGGTGCAAGTTCACCTTCTTCTTATCCTTTTCTGCCTAATAATTATCCACCTGAGAATGCAGATGATAAAGGAGGAAAGAAAGGGAGAGGGCTGAATAAGAGTGCTGTTATTGCAATAATAGTGAGTGATGTAATTGGAATATGCCTTGTGGGCTTGCTGTTCTCTTATTGTTATTCAAGGGTTTGTGCATATGGCAAGGATAAGGATGAGAGCCGGTATGGTTTTGAGAAGGGAAGGAAGAGAAGAAAGGAGTGCTTGTGCTTCAGGAAAGATGAGTCTGAGACTTTATCAGAAAATTTGGAGCAGTATGATCTTGTGCCACTGGACACGCAGGTGGCATTTGATTTGGACGAACTGCTGAAGGCCTCAGCTTTTGTTTTGGGGAAGAGTGGAATTGGAATTGTGTACAAAGTGGTTCTGGAAGATGGGCTTACCTTAGCTGTAAGAAGATTGGGTGAAGGTGGCTCGCAGAGGTTGAAGGAATTCCAGACAGAAGTAGAGGCCATTGGAAAGCTGAGGCATCCTAATATTGTTACTCTCAGGGCTTATTATTGGTCTGTTGATGAGAAGCTACTCATATATGATTATGTACCTTATGGCAGCCTTGCCACTGCACTTCATGGTATGTTTCATCAAATCCTCTTTCAAGAATTGTATGTATTACTCTTCCTTTATCTTCTGTTTGCAGCAGCAAGTTAAGAATCATCTGGTTATTTTTTTGTCCATTTCAGTTGATTTTATTATTTCCAATTTTTCTTATGGTCATCAGAGAAGGCTGGAATGGTATCATTCTCTCCATTACAATGGTCTGTTCGATTAAAAATCATGAAAGGAGTAGCAAAAGGCTTGATTTATCTCCATGAATTCAGCCCCAAAAAATATGTACACGGAGATTTGAAGCCAAGTAACATATTGCTGGATCAGAATATGGAACCAAGAATTTCTGATTTTGGACTCGGGCGGCTTGCTAATATTGCTGGAGGGTCCCCAACTCTGCAATCTAGCAGAATTCCCATGGAGAAACCACAAGAAAGACCACAACAGAGTGCATCCTCAGAAGTTTCTGCAGTTCATTCTTCTGCTAACTTGGGATCCTTTTACCAGGCTCCCGAAGCCCTGAAAGTGGTGAAACCATCACAGAAGTGGGATGTCTACTCCTATGGTGTGATCTTACTAGAAATGATCACTGGAAGAACACCATTAGTCCATGTAGGATCTTTAGAAATGGATCTTGTCCAATGGATTCAACTTTGCATTGAAGAGAAAAAGCCACTTTCAGATGTTTTGGACCCATATTTAGCTCCAGATGCGGATAAGGAAGAGGAGATAATTGCAGTACTGAATATTGCAGTGTCCTGTGTTCACAGCAACCCTGAACGAAGACTGACAATGAGGCATGTCTGCGATGCTTTGGACAGATTGGTTGTATCCTCTGACTGAGAAATCTAACTAAACCAGGAATCCATGTGCTTCATTGATGCGAGAAAATTTTTTTTTTCATTACATTAGTGGCACTATGATTTCAAGATGTTGGTTAGTTCCACATCATCTGAGAGTATCTTTATTGAATTACAGCATGGGAGAAAAATGGTACAGTTTTTGTACTAAGAAAGAAAGCCTTCAATCTCCATGTCTTGTTCCTGTAGGGTGCCCTTTGTTAGTTTGTTGTCATTGCTGAGGACTAGCTGATGTTAGGTCTGCTTTAATAGTTGAGTTTTTTTAATCTGCATTTGTATGAATTGGTCTGCGATACATATGTGCTTGTCTTCTCTTATTTCTCGTATTGCAGACCTTTTTGTCTTTTAATTTTTCATGTTCAATAAATCTAATTATTTTATTTGCTTGTTTTCTTTAATACCTACTTGATTGATATGGATAAAAATGTTTCCACTCGCATGAATTTCTAATTGTTGTACACTAGTTGCAGTGTGATTTCAAGAAGTTGTTTAGTTCCACTTCAAGATATAAGAACATAGATTCCCCCAATTATTGTCCTGGGAGACTATCCTTTCCGCCAGGAAGTCCCTTGGTCAAATTTAATTCCTGAAGGAGGCCTCCAGAACCTCTGACCCCTGCCTAATTAGGATTTTTTTTATTT